TGTATGTATGTATGTATGTATGTAATGTATGTATGAATGTAATGTATGTATGTATGTATGTATGCATGTATGTATGTATGTATGTAATGTAATGTAAAGTAATGTAAAGTAATGTAATGTAATGTAATGTAATGTAATGTAATGTAATGTAATGTAATGTAATGTAATGTATGCATGCATGCATGCATGCATGCATGCATGCATGTATGTGTGTTTGTGTCACTCTTTGTGGTTCTGGGGCAGAGGTGTCGCACCTTCTTTGTGGTTTTTGGGAGGTAGGGAGCATTTGTCAGCAACAGTGCACCAACAGGCTGCCTTTCAGAATTGACCGGACTCAACATAGCAGTTTCGCAAGCTCAGATGAGGAACGAACCCACCGCGGTGCGGACATGGCGGCACCCTCGACAAGAGATGCTTGTGTCTTTTGTGCATTCGTTATTTTGTGACGCTGGCTTCCCTGTGACGCAGCTTTTCATTAGTCCTTGGATGACGTTTGCAGTTTCAGCCTCACAGTAGGGGCAATTGCGGGTTCAGGACAGCCCCTCCCATGGACAGCGGCCGCTCTTTCGATTGGATAGATTTCTTACACACCAAGCTCGGACTCCAGGTCCTATGGAAGCAAGGGATGCTGTGGGAACCACTCCCGCATACTCCCCTAACATGGACGGTACCTGGCACAGCAATGCCTAGTGTCCTTGAAACGAAACGACCTCCTGGTTTTCCAGTTATCCCCTTTGCCACCGCTAGACCCCGGCGCTCTGCCTGGGCTTCGAGAACGGCCGGGTGCAGATCATGCGAAGCGGCTCGGAGCGGAAAGGAGTCGGTGGAAAGGGCCGCGGAAAGGGTGTGCAGCAGAACGCGGGAAGAAAAAGAGGAAGAAGAAGAGGAGGAGGAAGAAGAAGAAGAAACGCATTCGCTTTCTTCGGGATTGCCTCTAGGTGATTTGCCCTACTCTGAATCGGAGACAGGTGATTATATATTGCTTAGAGACTGCAGCAACTTGGTAAACAAGGGCTGGATACTTAAAAGCTTGGCACAGCATGCCCTAGGTAAACTGGGTATGTTTGAAAGGACGGGTAAAGAACCAGCCTGCAGATCCAGTTTCCAGCGCAAATCAGGGGGGTGGGTGACTTCCCATGCTAACCGGTGATCAAATTCAACGGGGTGAGTGAATTCCAAGTCTGCTTTCCATCCATCTCTTGTGCTGGTTCTTCTTGAAGGCAACTGGGGGATCCAGCACAACGGGCTTCTGGACTTCGGACACAGGGCGATCGCCATTGCGCCCATTGCCGCCTTTCCAGTTCAACTGTTGGAGGCTGATCCTTCGGAATGCTCACCGAGGTGATGCAGACGACAAGCCGGTTTTGCTGGACACACAGCTGCCCGGGCCTTGGCATCGCTCTGGCAGTGGGAAATCTCCAGATCCATCTGGGAGGGACATGGGCGGCTCACTGAATTGCAACCATGTCCTTGACCCAGGCCGCAGCTTGAGGTGTACAGTTGACATCCCAATTGACATGGACTCTGGGCAAGTCAAACAATTCGACCTCCAGGGATTTTTTGTTTTGTTTTTGTTTTTTTCTTTCGATTTCACACAATGCTCCGAGCTGACGAGTTGCATTCTGATGGCTCCATTTGTTTCTTTGCAGCTGATGGCAGGGGTCATTATTTTGACGGTGTCTGGGGGTTATCAAAGCCAGAAATGGGATTCGTTTCCCTTTAACCCACCACTTCCATGGTAAAATCATGAGGCCAGGATGGACATTTCAAGTTCCCCGCCCGGAGCCAAAGCTTTGGTGTTGAGCGAAACAAGGCGCTGCACCGGCCTGAAGTGGGACCCCAATGGCTCAGTGGCCGGGCACCCAAGGATCTTTCGGTAGAGGGGGATGGACGTTTTTTTTTCTTTTCCTCTTACGGTCTTTCCGTGATTCCCAAGCTACATGGGTCTCGCCCTTTCTCTCCGGATGGCAAAAGAGATGACCTATGCAAAGAACTGGGGCCCCTTGGCTTTCCAGGTCCAGGCTTTGGAGTGCGGCGATTGTCCAGGGTTGAGTCCAAGAATCTGGCAGTTTGGTGGAAAGACCAAAGAGGGATGCTTCCTTGTTGCCAGAAGCATGAACCGAAGAAAGATCTTGTTCTTGTGACCCCCTCCCACCCCACCAAAGATTGTTTCTTGTTGCTCGTGATGCTTCTTTGGAGCAATCGTGGCATGTTTCATGTCTTCTCTTGTCGTCACTTTGTCGAATCTGATCGGCGAGTAAATGGGTTCCTACAGAAGGGCGCTCTTCTCAACTTGTGCTTGACAAATCAGATGTGAGCCATGTCTTTGGGAGTTTCAACTGAGACTCAACTATTTGTCAACCATTTTGTTTGTGCCATTGGGTTTCTCTTTGTCGTTCTTCCATAGCTTTTTTTGTGGTTGCTATTAAGAATCCAACAGAGAGCCCCCCCGCTTTTAGGGGGACGCTTCTGGTTTGGAGACAGTGGGCAAAAATCAGTCAGATGCCAACAGAAACTCAGAGCTGCAAAACTGGCGAGATGAACGACAAGGTCACGGTGAAAGGTCTGCGGACCGACAGCCGCCAAGACACAGCTGTTTAGTTCTTTGGGTGTCATGGAGGCAAATTCGCTTCCTTGAGTGTGAGAAAGCACAGGATTTCAGAGGAGTCCCAAACACCGGTGTTCGCCCGTTTGCTTTCTGCTTTGGCTGAGGTAGCCATTGCGGGGGTACAGGCGGGCGCTGCGGCGAGCGACCGTGAGGCAGGGGGGGGGGGCAGCGCTCAGGGGGCTCACCAATTAACAGAAGCCCTGGCTCAAAACGCGTGCGGTTGTTGACATGTTTTTGCTTTCGATTTTTCAGGCATTGGGGTGAGTTTCTACAGGTCTGAAGCATGGAACTGCCTTGCTTGAAGGAAGACTCGAACAATGGACACCTAAGCAGTCTCGATGATTTTATCAAGCTTTATCGATGTTTGGCAGCGGATGCAGGAGAATCAGCACCCTTTGCCAGTTGACCAGTATGGCATGTCAATACTTCAGAACGCAATGCAGTTGGCTGCCTTCGTCTGGGCTGAAGCCATTGCCCGACATCTTTGGGTTGTTGGAAAGTTGTTTCCAGGAGGGTCTTGTCATCAGTCAGCAGAGGCAAATCTCTGGCTGCTTCAAGGCTTCAAGGCCAATGTTTGGCCTCGTGCTGCCATGTGAGCCCATGCTGCCAGGCAAATGCCAAACGCATCAGAAAAGGGCGCCATAGTCTTTTCAAATGTTGCCATTCGTCTGCATATGGGCTGACGCAGGTGTTGAGAAAGGCAGACAGAATAGAAGAAAGGAAAGGCAGATGCCAGGTGTAGGCAAAAGTGGCTCACGGGCTCACGGAGTTGGCAACCGCGGGAGAAGCTCTGCCCAAGCACTTGCCCCCAACATGTGGGGTTGCTATGGCCAACATGCGATAGTGGGTTGCCGGAAAGTGATGAGACAGATGACGAGCCTGAAGTGCTTTGCACACCGAACCATGATGACTCACGAGGCATTTGTCTGAGTCCACTTGATTGGCAACTTGCTGGACGGTACTTTGCTGTCTGGGCAAAAATACGCGCTGAGGCGCGCAGGCAAACAGACAAAAGAACTGAAGAACAGGCAGGAAGGCAGGCAGACGCAGATAGGCAGATGAGGGAAGAAAGGACATGGAGACAGGGGGAAAGAAAGCGGGGCAGGCTGAGTTGTTCCTGGCTGAGGCTACGGTGGAGTTTTTAAGCGGGTTGCAGGCGGCAAGTGATGAGACAAATGACGAGCCTGAAGTGCTTTGCACACCGAACCATGATGACACACGAGGCATTTGTCTGAGTCCGCGTGGCAACTTGCTAAAAGGTGCTTGGCTGTGTGGGCAATGATACGCGCTGACGCGCATAGGCAAACAGAGCTAAACACCGAAGAAAATTCAGAAAGGCAGGCAGACACAGATAGGCAGATGCAGGCTGAGTTGTTCCTGGCTGAGGCTACGGTTGAGATTTTAAGTGGGTTGCAGGTGGGAAGTGATGAGACAGATGACGAGCCTGAAGTGCTTTGCACACCGAACCATGATGACATACGAGGCATTTGTCTGAGTCCAATTGATTGGCAACTTGCTGAAAGGTGCTTGGCTGTCTGGGCAAAGATACGCGCTGAGGCGCGCAGGCAAACAGACAAAAGAACTGAAGAACAGGCGGGAAGGCAGGCAGATGCAGATATGTAGATGCGGGAAGAAAGGACAGGGAGAGACGGGGAAAGAAAGCGGGGCAGGCTGAGTTGTCCCTGGCTGAGGCTACGGTTGAGATTTTAAGTGGGTTGCAGGCGGCAAGTGATGAGACAGATGACGAGCCTGAAGTGCTTTGCACACCGAACCATGATGACATACGAGGCATTTGGCTGACTCCGCTTGCACCTTGCTGAAAGGTGCTTGGCTGTCTGGGCAAAGATACGCGCTGAGGCGCGCAGGCAAACAGACAAAAGAACTGAAGAACAGGCGGGAAGGCAGGCAGATGCAGATATGTAGATGCGGGAAGAAAGGACAGGGAGAGACGGGGAAAGAAAGCGGGGCAGGCTGAGTTGTCCCTGGCTGAGGCTACGGTTGAGATTTTAAGTGGGTTGCAGGCGGCAAGTGATGAGACAGATGACGAGCCTGAAGTGCTTTGCACACCGAACCATGATGACATACGAGGCATTTGGCTGACTCCGCTTGCACCTTGCTGCAAGGTGCTTGGTTGTCTGGGCAAAGATACGCGCTGAGGCGCGCAGGCAAACAGACAAAAGAACTGAAGAACAGGCAGGAAGGCAGGCAGACGCAGATAGGCAGATGAGGGAAGAAAGGACATGGAGACAGGGGGAAAGAAAGCGGGGCAGGCTGAGTTGTTCCTGGCTGAGGCTACGGTGGAGTTTTTAAGCGGGTTGCAGGCGGCAAGTGATGAGACAAATGACGAGCCTGAAGTGCTTTGCACACCGAACCATGATGACACACGAGGCATTTGTCTGAGTCCGCGTGGCAACTTGCTAAAAGGTGCTTGGCTGTGTGGGCAAAGATACGCGCTGATGCGCATAGGCGAACAGACAAAAACACCGAAGAGCAGGCCGCAAGAAGGGCAGACGCAGATAGGCAGATGAGGCAAGAAAGGTCAGACAGACAGGGGGAAAGAAAGGCGGGCAGGCTGAGTTGTTCCTGGCTGTGGCTACGGTTGAGATTTTAAGTGGGTTGCAGGCGGGAAGTGATGAGACAGATGACGAGCCTGAAGTGCTTTGCACACCGAACCATGATGACATACGAGGCATTTGTCTGAGTCTACTTGATTGGCAACTTGCTGGAATGTGCTTGGTTGTCTGGGCAAAGAATACGCGCTGAGGCGCACTGGCAAACAGACAAAAGAACCAAAAAAACAGGCAGGAAGACAGGCAGACGCACATAGGAAGAAAGGACATGGAGACAGGGGGAAAGAAAGCGGGGCAGGCTGAGTTGTTCCTGGCTGAGGCTACGGTTGAGATTTTAAGCGGGTCGCAGGCGGCAAGTGATGAGACAGATGACGAGCCTGAAGTGCTTTGCACACCGAACCATGATGACATACGAGGCATTTGTCTGAGTCCACTTGATTGGCAACTTGCTGGAATGTGCTTGGTTGTCTGGGCAAAGAATACGCGCTGAGGCGCACTGGCAAGCAGACAAAAGAACCAAAAAACAGGCAGGAAGACAGGCAGACGCAGATAGGAAGAAAGGACATGGAGACAGGGGGAAAGAAAGCGGGGCAGGCTGAGTTGTTCCTGGCTGAGGCTACGGTTGAGATTTTAAGTGGGTCGCAGGCGGGAAGTGATGAGACAGATGACGAGCCTGAAGTGCTTTGCACACCGAACCATGATGACATACGAGGCATTTGTCTGAGTCCACTTGATTGGCAACTTGCTGAAAGGTGCTTGGTTGTCTGGGCAAAGATACGCGCTGACGCGCACAGGCATATAGACAAAAGAACCGAAGAACAGGCAGGATGGCAGGCAGACGCAGATAGGTAGATGAGGGAAGCAAGGACAGGGAGACAGGGCGAAAGAAAGCGGGGCAGGCTGAGTTGTTCCTGGCTGAGGCTACCGGCTTAAATTTTCAGTGGGTTGCAGGCGGGAAGTGCTGAGACAGACGAACGAGCCTCAAGTGCTTCATGATGACATGCGAGGCATTTGTCTGAGTCCACTTGATTGGCAACTTGCTGGAAGAAGCTTGGTTGTCTGGGCAAAGATACGCGCTGAGGCGCACAGGCAAACAGACAAAAGTTCCGAAGAACAGGCAGAAAGGCAGGCAGACACAGATAGGCAGATGGGGGAAAAAAGGACAGGGAGACAGGGGGAAAGAAAGCGGGGCAGGTCTGAGTTGTTCCTGGCTGAGGCTACGGTTAAGTTTTTGAGGGGGTTGCAGGCGGCAAGTGATGAGACAGATGACGAGCCTGAAGTGCTTTGCACACCGAACCATGATGACATACGAGGCATTTGTCTGAGTCCAATTGATTGGCAACTTGCTGAAAGGTGCTTGGCTGTCTGGGCAAAGATACGCGCTGAGGCGGGAAGGCAGGCAGACGCAGATAGGTAGATGAGGGAAGAAAGGACATGGAGACAGGGGGAAAGAAAGCGGGGCAGGCTGAGTTGTTCCTGGCTGAGGCTACGGTGGAGTTTTTAAGCGGGTTGCAGGCGGCAAGTGATGAGACAGATGACGAGCCTGAAGTGCTTTGCACACCGAACCATGATGACATACGAGGCATTTGTCTGAGTCCACTTGATTGGCAACTTGCTGGAAAGTGCTTGGTTGTCTGGGCAAAGATATGCGCTGAGGCGCACAGGCAAACAGACCAAAGCACCGAAGAACAGGCAGAAAGGCAGGCTGACACAGATAGGCAGATGAGGGAAGAAAGGACAGGGAGACAGGGGGAAAGCAAGCGGGGCAGGCTGAGTTGTTCCTGGCTGAGGCTACAGTTGAGAGTTTTCAGTGGGTTGCAGGCGGCAAGTGATGAGACAGATGACGAGCCTGAAGTGCTTTGCACACCGAATCATGATGAAATATGAGGCATTTGGCTGAGTCCGCTTGATTGGCAACTTGCTGGAAGGTGCTTGGTTGTCCGGGCAAAGATACGCGCTAAAGCTCACAGGCAATCAGACCCAAACACCGAAGAACAGGCAGCAAGGCGGGCAGACGCAGATAGGTAGATGAGGGAAGCAAGGACAGGGAGACAGGGGCTGAGTTGTTCCCGGCTGAGGCTACGGTTGAGATTTTCAGTGGGTTGCAGGCAGGAAGTGATGAGACAGATGACGAGCCTGAAGTGCTTTGCACACCGAACCATGATGACATACGAGGCATTTGTCTGAGTCCATTTGATTGGCAACTTGCTGAGAGGTACTTGGTTGTCTGGGCAAAGATATGCGCTGAGGCGCACAGGCGAACAGACAAAAGAGCCGAAGAACAGGCAGGAAGGCAGGCAGACGCAGTTAGGTAGATGAAGGACATTGAGACAGGGGGAAAGAAGGCGGGGCAGGCTGAGTTGTTCCTGGCTGAGGCTACGGTTGAGATTTTAATTGGATTGCTGGCGGGAAGTGATGAGACAGATGACGAGCCTGAAGTGCTTTGCACACCGAACCATGATGACATACGAGGCATTTGTCTGAGTCCGCTTGGCAACTTGCTGGAAGGTGCTTGGTTGTCTGGGCAAAGATACGCGCTGAGGCGCACAGGCAAGCAGACAAAAGAACCGAAGAACAGGCAGGACGGCAGGCAGACACAGACAGGCAGATGAGGGAAAGGACAGGGAGACAAGGGGGAAAGAAAGCGGCGGGCAGGCTGAGTTGTTCCTGGCTGAGGCTAAGGTTGAGATTTTAAGTGAGTTGCAGGTGGCAAGTGATGAGACAGATGACGAGCCTGAAGTGCTTTGCACACCGAACCATGATGACATACGAGGCATTTGTCTGAGTCCACTTGATTGGCAACTTGCTGAAAGGTGCTTGGCTGTCTGGGCAAAGATACGCGCTGAGGCGGGAAGGCAGGCAGACGCAGATAGGTAGATGAGGAAAGAAAGGACATGGAGACAGGGGGAAAGAAAGCGGGGCAGGCTGAGTTGTTCCTGGCTGAGGCTACGGTGGAGTTTTTAAGCGGGTTGCAGGCGGCAAGTGATGAGACAGATGACGAGCCTGAAGTGCTTTGCACACCGAACCATGATGACATACGAGGCATTTGTCTGAGTCCACTTGATTGGCAACTTGCTGAAAGGTGCTTGGTTGTCTGGGCATAGATACGTGCTGACGCGCATAGGCGAACAGACAAAAACACCGAAGAGCAAGCAGCAAGGCGGGCAGACGCAGATAGGTAGATGAGGCCAGAAAGGACAGGGAGAGACGGGGAAAGAAAGCGGCGGGCAGGCTGAGTTGTTCCTGGCTGAGGCTAAGGTTGAGATTTTAAGTGGGTTGCAGGTGGCAAGTGATGAGACAGATGACGAGCCTGAAGTGCTTTGCACACCGAACCATGATGACATACGAGGCATTTGTCTGAGTCCACTTGATTGGCAACTTGCTGGAATGTGCTTGGTTGTCTGGGCAAAGAATACGCGCTGAGGCGCACTGGCAAACAGACAAAAGAACCAAAAAACAGGCAGGAAGACAGGCAGACGCAGATAGGAAGAAAGGACATGGAGACAGGGGGAAAGAAAGCGGGGCAGGCTGAGTTGTTCCTGGCTGAGGCTACGGTTGAGGTTTTAAGTGGGTCGCAGGCGGGAAGTGATGAGACAGATGACGAGCCTGAAGTGCTTTGCACACCGAACCGTGATGACATACGAGGCATTTGTCTGAGTCCACGTGGCAACTCTGGAAGGTGATATGTTATCCGGCAAAGACGCGCTGCGACGGACAAGTCGAGATTTGTCCATTCATTACATTGTATTTTGTTTTTCTTTTTTCTTTTTTCTCTCTTTTTTTGCAGTTGAGCTGCGCAGCCCATCAGCCCATCATTTCTGTTTTTCCCCCGACACCAGGTGGGCGTGGTTCAGTTCTATGCACCGAGCGGGCAGCATCTTAGATCTCTGCGACTGGGCCAGCAATGCTTGGGGGACAGGAGGGTTTCCACTGCCCGCAAACCACTACTCTAGACGGAAAGTTATATGGATGTTTCTCAGAAGTAGGAAGCCCTCCAGATAGGTGGTTTCCTTTTGAAACCCATCCAAACTGTGTCACACCTATCTTGAGAAACCTGCATGTATATGTATATCATATAATAATACCCTTTGCTTATGTAGTGGTTCCCTCGTGGTTGTATACCCCCCGCCCCTCCCCCAAACAACAAATACACAAATCATTGGGGGTAGTGAAAACCAACTTAGATGCTGACGTTTTTCTCTGGCCAACGAATCATGAAACGCTCTGTACCACCCCTGCCAAGAGGAACATTATTTTCCAGGGAGGTCCCATTTAGGTCCCATGGGACCTCCCATGTTCCAAGTATCGGCGATCCATGGCTTGGTACTCTGCTTCTTTCCCTTTGCGGCGATCTTGAGGTTTTGCCCCGGTTTTCGTAGGCCTTTTCGGACACGGGGTGGTAGGGTTTTTACCAACAGAAGGGAGGGGTCTCCAGCTCGCCGATGCAGGCGAGTGCCCGGGCAGAACCTGCGGTCCATCTCCTGGGAAGGCGAACATCCATCCTCACTGCCTGAACTTCCGAATTGGCATGGAAGGCTTCTTGCCTTTTCCCACACATGTAGCAGTTTCTTCTTGACATTCTTGAGGCTTTGGTAGGGTGTGGTTGTGGGGGGTAAAGACTGTCGATGAGCGGACTTGTTCAATATTCTAGCCTTCGGTTGTTTACGCGAAGTCCTTCAGTTGTTTATCAGGAATGCTTTCGAGCCACTTGTCAAGGACGTGTGCAAAGCTTTTGTGGAAGACACCCGTCTTTCAGGAATCACAGAAGAAACACCTTCCTCTATCGCCCTGGTCGTGCAAAGTCAAGGTGCTTCTCCCTTGCCATCCCGAGCGGATTTTGTGTGGCTAGCGCGTGGAAGTGCTGCAGCCCAAGTTGTCACAAAGCTTCTGGATTGTCTGGGGGTGCTTTAAGCTTTGACACTTTCCCGTGTCTTGGGCCAATAGTTCTCCGGGCCAGATTTTTCAGCTAGGCCAGGGAAATGCAATGGAATCTGAATCTCCCCATGAGTCACTCCAAGAGCTCTTCTGGGGGTGAGAATCATCCTATCCACCGTCAAAATGTGTGTTTATCGCAAATAGACATTAGAAGTTTAGTCAGTCCCTTTTGGTTTGTGTGTTGGAATTATTGAGTCTAATCATGTCCCTCCCAGGTTGACTAGAGAAAACTTGTAATTTTGCCTAGAGCTCAATGTGGAGCTCTTGGATCCCCGAATGTTGAGACAACTGTGGAAGCCTGGCCGCAAACGTGTTCAATCTAGTAGACCTTTTCCAGGTCACTCTGGTGGCGGGACTTGGTGCGACGGACCAACAGCAGTGACTCCAATCATCTGGGGTTTGGGTATCTGAGAATCGGGTGGCGAAGACTTGCTGAATGCCAGGCAGTGGTCTCCGTTTGGCACTCGCCGTAGACTCCCACATCTTCTTTGCAAACATCAGGCGCGGACTGGCGACTGGGTCTCGCAGATACCCTCCCACCCATGAACATTTCTTTTTTGTTTTTTTTAAAACTGAGGGTACCCTTTTGGGGGGTTGTGTTCAAGGCAAACCAGAGGGAAACCACCCACTTGGACAGTTTCCATGTTGGTGGGTTGGAGAGTAAACGTTCAGGGATTCCCAGTGAACTTCTTACCAAGTCCATGCAACCTCTTGTAACTTATAGCAGAAACTATTCCCCCACTCATCTCCCAGCCAATCAAACTGGGCGACCAGGAATCAGGAAGATGCCCAGCGGAGAATGGGGTGCCAACAGCCCTTGCTGATTTTGACGAATGCCCCCCCGTTCCTGCTATTTTTGGCTTTTTGCCTCCTGATACTTTGTGACACCTATGCTTTTGCGATCCTCTCTGAACCAGTTAAATGCATCTGCGCAAGGCAACAAGAGGAGCATGGCAGATCCTGCCGAGGGGTAGCCTTGCAAAAATCAAGTTGCTCTTCCCGGCAACACGTAGTTATTTGGCTGGTCGGATACGGGAGCAGGTACAGCTCTTTTAGTCTCTGATTCTTTTACTTTCTTGCAGATAAGCATGGAACTCCAGGGCCATTATGTTTGGAAGAAAGGCACCCAAATTTGGGTTGCTTCTGTGCATTTTTGCAGTTTTCGGATAAGTCTCCACCCGCTTCTGTGAGGCCAGATTATCTCTGGGGCTTCTTCTCGCGCACCCTGGTGTATGCGGCCTGACACTCAGCGACACAGGACAGGTTGCGCCTTTGCCTTGTCTCCGAAACTTCTGTCAGCGCCAATTTTGTGAGAAATTCGCCAACCCCTTTGTTGGTGGTTGGTTGTACCTGGATTTCCATTAGTTGGGATATGTCCCTTTTGCTTTTCTCTGAAAAGCTACCCTCTCAGAATTTCCGCAAGAACATAAGAAGAACACAAACCCCGCGCTCTTTGGCTCAACCTTTGGCCTGAACTTTGCGGCGGTTTCGCTACGTTTCACTCGTGGGTCGGGTTAGACCGGAGACCAGCCGATCTTCGCCTCGCCCACCTTGCCCCCCCCCTCAGTGCTCTAAGTGCCTGTAAGGTGCTGCGCAAGGAGCGGAACGAGCATGTCGTGGTCTTCTGGGACACTCATAGTGATGCGGCTCGGTGTTGATTCGGTGCACCGGCCACAGACGAGTGAGATATACGAGATGGTGAGTGAGATTGGTGCTTTTTGCACATGTCAGCTTTCTGGTAACTAGATTGCAGATCCGTTTTGGTTCTTGTTTTCTCCCATTCGTAATCTTGGGTTCATACGATCTCCGGTGACAAAGTACCGCAGTGGAACATCTCTGCAGCTGGCTCCCAATTGTTGTCTCAACATTCGGGGATCCCGGACTCGGTGCCCTTTTCCCCAACCAGCAGTGTTAGCAGTGATGTTCGGTCGGACATATCAGTCTATGGTCAATTTGGGAGGGAAGGGATTTAATGATTAGACTCAATAATCGTTTGAACACACAAACCCAATCAAACTCACTAAACTTCAACAGCTGGACCTTCGAGGCGAGGTGTGCCGCGCCTCTTTTTTCGCGGGAAGTGGTTGGGACCGCTTAGGTTGGGTTCTGGGACTTTGCCTGGGAGAAGTGTGGAGAGCATCGCCTTTCACACACAACTTTTCACAGATGTCGGTCAGCCCGCCCAAGTAAAGACTGATTTCAGAGTTTTGGCTTGTTTTGTCTCATTCAGAACCTGGTTGGGTTTCTCTTTGTGCAAGACTCGAAAGCTGGAAGTCTGCCCTGAGTGGGGCCAATCAGTGAATCATCATGCCAGGGCTTTTTTGGCTCGGACATACCACAGTAGCACATCTAGCTTTGTTGTTTTACTATGAAATCACCCTGAACCCATGTGATGGGAAGCTGCGGTTTTCTGCCAGGGGTTATTGGTTGAGCTGCAATGCATGTCATCCATGTGCATCTTGGCTCAGGAAAAGTACACCAAGTACATCAAGCACGTCACGTGCCTCCGTTGCAAGCTGTTAAGCAGCGTTGCCGATATGCAATTTTGGCGCCTTGTTTGGTTGGCGGGCTGGGTAAATTGGGTATGCCCATTGCATCAAATTCGTTTTCTGCACTTCACCTGGCCCAAACCTCGGTTTTCTTCCTGCACGAGGTTGTTTTACAATGAGGCCAAACATCTCTTATTCATACGTAATTGTACACACATCTTGCTGCTTCTTGGCGGGACATCCTGCTGCGACAAGGGCTTCTGAAACAAGCCATCAGCCAGATCAATTCACGACTTGACAAGGCACATAAGATCTTCGGAGGAGTACTGTGTCCTAGTGACCAAGGCCGGGGAGCCGGCAAATGGGCTCGGAGGATTCCATCCTAAAAGGCAAACATTTTTGCCTCTGCCAATTTGAATATTGTCTCAAAATGTGAGGCCACGTTTTTTTCTTCCACAGAAAGTCAGAGGAAACATGACGTTTTGAGGAGCTCCTCATTCCGAGACATTCTCATCTCTATTCACTTGTTAGAGGCCCGAAATGGCTAGATCTCTTCGGATGCAGGCGGACGACTCCAGCGGTCAGCACATTGCCGGGGTCCCAGTGATCGACAATCAAGATCTTACGCTGCAAGTGCCAGTTTGTTATACCCAATGATGGTGACATGCCACGGGATCTCACTGTGGGCCCTGACCGAGGTCATTGTATGCAATGACATCGGCAGTCCGGTGGATTCCAAGCAACTTGCCATTACGATCGATGCGTGCTTGCTGTTTGAGGATGTGTTGGGATGTGCTGGCCATTCACTCATGTTTTTAGGCACGCTGGTGCTTGGCACAAAGCGGTCCGGAGATGAAAGTGGCCCGGAATGCCTTTCGGGGACACTCCATTTGAGATGCAAACTGTCCAAACTGAACAGTTGTGAGCGCGATACTTTTTTCGAGGGCGACTGGCCGGACATTTTCTGGGGATTTAACCGACCGACACAAAGGGAATAGTTGGGAGGATATCCATTTGGCCATAATGTCACCCATGGGCCAACCGGCCGGGACGAAACACTGATTGTTTCACTTTGATTTTATGCAAGTACTAGCACGTGAATTTGCATTTACACATTGAACATCCGCTCAAATTTGCCAAGCGCTGGCCGTGTCAGAGAATCCATTTGAGATGACTCTCATATTTCAGGTATATGCAGCTGGATCCAGCACACGTGGCGATGACAAACTCGCATGTCATTGCCACGTCCGAGGACTGACTTTGAACAAGCCGAAGAAGTGGAGTTGGCAAACAACGAAATTCCTTTTAACAGATTTGGCCACTCGCTCAAGAAACGGCTTATCCTTCCAGGAATGATTGATGTGAGCGGCCGAGAACTCTTTCCGGCTGGAGCAGACTCGTGCGCGCCGTATTATGGATGGATGAACCAAGATTGAGTCTACCCGACACCAAAGCTTCCTGGGGCTTTCGATTCATTGGCTTGTGTGTTTGTCCCCAGAAAGCTTGCTTTGCAAACGTGAAGGAGTTCCAGCGTCAATTTCCTTCCTTTCGCAGGAGCTGTAAGCAAGTGTTCGGGAAGTCTACCCTAGCCTTGAGACTTTTGCCCCATCGCACGAGGTCGCATGGCTTGCGCAGCTTTCGGCCAGGATGTGGTGTACATTTGGAATTACCGCAGCAGCGTGTCCCGGCAAGCGCAGGCAGTCACGTGAATTGAAGCGGGCAGTTGTTCAGGCAGCTGACCAAGCTTAGTAGTTATCAAGCTGAATCAACCCACCATTTGGGTTTGTCTTCCAATGGAGCAACCTCCAAAATGATTCCCCAAAAAACCATACATCCGTTTCCTCCGGAGCTTGGTGGGTTGTGCCGAAGCCAGGGAGATCTGGCTTCGGCGGCTGGCATGGGCATCAAGCAGCGCAGCCGCCGAATTGATCAGAAACGCCCTGCGTGGCGCGCCGTGCTTTTGTGACGGCAATTACTCCGCGCTGATTCCGGTTAAGGAAGAAAAGAGGTAACTTTTGACACACCCAGGTGATTTCCAGAGGTTGGGTGCGTGTGTCTGGGTGTGTGTGTGTGTGTGTGCGGGGAGAAATCGTTCCCGAACAGAAGTTTGATGGGCCAAAAGGATGCAAGCAATATTTTTGGCGAAGCCATTTGGGTTTGCCTGTCTCGTCTAGCCATTGCCGTAATAGAGCCCTTGGCTTGGCCTGATCGCATTCCTTGATGCCGAAGCTCGGTGAAGAGCAAGTATCCCAGAAACCAGTTTCCCCGTGGCTCAAATCAAGGAAATGCCTACCAACACAACAATACGTGTGAGGGCGGCTTGCCGATTTTTGCGCCAGGAGAAGAGCAGAAATGATGCGTGGCTGGCGAACCTTGGGGATTCAGCAGAGCTATGTTTAGCTCAATTCACATGATGGATTAGTCGCTTGGACGTTTGACCCACCGTAGGGAAGCAGGTTCTGCCAAAAAAGCACCGTGGGACGACACAGGGCTAGTTGACGTATGACAGTGGTTGTAATTTATCTATATTAAGCAGGTTGCCATCCAAGCCAATGTCACAATAAGGCCCCCACCCAAATCAACCTTGAGGACACGTGCAAGAGTGTCGGGCACTGCCAGCTTGCTTGTCGTATTCGTTTTTTGAGGGTATCCGTGTTTGGTTGTTTCACAGGGAAGCTGAGGGATACCAACCATTTTGGGGGTTCCCGCATGTTGAACCCAAACCTTTCAGAGTTTGTGCTGTTACTTCAGAGCGTCCGGTCTTTTGTACAAGGTTGTTTGGCATCACAGAGGTGTGAGACATGCAGCGCGCCCGGCATGCCAGGTTTCACATCGATGAATCTTTTGCCCCTGGCACTGGTACGCATGACAAGGAGTGTCTTGCTGTGCCTCCAGATTGAACTTGCAAATGCCCAGTCTGAGGGTGGACTTCCAACAGTCGTTCAAACTCCAGCTGTTACCAGTGGGTTCTTGGTCGCTTTCCGGAGGAAGGACTGGAAGGAATGGGCAACGCACACCTACAACAAGTCATGTGGTTCCAAGGTGATGGCGATGGACTTAAGTTTGCGTTTTGCCAGAGTTAGCCGCTCGCTGATTCCATGCCTTTCCCACCCCACAACAGAGACCTTGCCCAGAAACAGGGGGTACTTCATAGGACAAGATGACATTTGACCTTTCACAGCCACCCGATCTTTCTCGCAGGAGGGCTTCGTGCCACCGTCCTCCACTACGCAGGAAAGCGTGGAGGGCTGACTTGGCCGCTCCAAGCATTCAAGAACGGAGTAGCCGCGTCGCCCTTGCTCATAGTCCTTGGTTCCCTGGTTGCCAAACTGCATAGTGCTTATCTACCCGTTTTGGGAGAGGGCACGAGCAACAGCATGCCTCATTTTGAGATAGACCTAGACGAGCTACGACCACTGTTTGGCAACTCTGGCTGTAGCACGTCCATATGAATATGCATGTGGCTGTGGCTAAAAAAACGGTACCAAAATGGAACCCTGGTAAGTGGAAACATAGACCAAAACCTGCGTAACCCCTCCTGGTTAATTTTGAGCCACACCCATGTGTGAACCATTGCACAAGTAATTCGGTTCGTGTTTGGGCATCCGTTGAGTCTAGATATAAAGGCAGACACCAGACACATCCACACATACATAGGCACAAGTCTGATTTTTTTTGCTTCACACTTCCAAGACCAAGCCATGTCTTTCAGTCGGTGCGACTGGACCCACCACCGTTTCCCTGAGGATCCCATCGCCTGCATTTGCGCCACGGAGCAGTGCCTGCTGATCGCGCGGGAGAGCGGGGTGGTGCAGCGCTATGCCCTGCCTGGGGCCCAGACCCACGGGGCTGGGATCGGTGGGGATGCTGTTGGGTGGCCCTTGTGACTTTGAGGGCGCCTGCGGCCGGCGAGTATTCGAACTGTGGGCTACAGTTGTCATGACTCGTGGAAGGCAAAATGTGGCCTTCACTCAGGTCCGAGATTGTTTTTGAGTTTGTCAAATGACCAAGCCAATGAGCAAGCTTCAGCCAGATAGACACATCAGCTGTTGTGAACAGGCAATTCTTGGCTCAAGCCAGCGTTTCGAGCTGGGTTGGGTCAACTCCTTGTTTAAACATGTGTAAACCACCATTAGTCAGACATTGGAAAGCCGGCGGGTTTCAAACGGATCGCGAGCATGCAGTTCCCAATGTTTCCTTTTGGTGGTGTTAAGGGCCGAAAAGCGACTTATTCTTAACATGGGAGGAGTTGGGTTTGCCACATTTGTTTGGCCTTGTTTCAAGGCTCCTTTACATTTCCCAAATGGAGGGATCAAACATTGCAGTTGCATGGCCGTTCGGAATGTCGCTCAAACTGTGAACTTTCCGGCTGTGAAGTCTGCATTGTGCATTTTTGACAAGATCCCTGATGGCGAGCTCGGCCGTGATCAGGATCGGAGCCGTGCATGCTTTAGAAGACTCCCGAAAGCGGATGAAAACCGGATTCCACTAAACGCAACTTGACCGTACTCGGTGAAAAGCTGAGCGAGGTCATTGCGTGGGGTGGGACATGTCATGACCCTGCCTTTCTGTTTTGTGAAGTGGATGTATACGCCGATTTCGACAGGTTTCCTGCCAGAGGCGCCGGCATCGAATGATCGAATTCAACGGTCTCATCCAACGAATCCCAAGGCCTCACCTGGCTCTGGAAGCGCGGTTCACCATCCGCTGCCGGCCACAGGCGGGGCGTGCCTTTTGGCGCAGCTTGTTTTTTTTGTTTGTTTTACCAATGGTTTTTGTGGACGGGCGGGAAACCCGGCATTTGATTTGTACTAATGATGTAGAGTTCGCCTGGGGTAAATTAAGCTCACAGCAGAATGGAGGTCCCTTACTTAAGGATTCCTTCGTGCAGGTTGGTGACACGCAGGAAGTTGTGCAGATTGGTTTGTCCAAATGCTTGATGTATGAGTAGTTCATATGTTGGCATGTCTTGCCGGGGTTGGACTTGAAGAAGGTGTTTGAGTTTTAGGTTGAGGTTGTGCAACGTCAATTGGTAGCCTGACTGGCAGCAAAGCCTTGTCAAGCAATGTCATCCATGGGCACCTGCTCAAGCAGCAGAAAGGAAGACACTTCTTCAAAGAGAACTGACACTACATTGGAACCTATGTTGAAACCCATCTACGTGGCACTACACTAAGCAGCCAGTTTGCATGTGCGCGTGGGGGGGGGGGGGCGGGGCGGGGGGCGGGGGGTGGGGGGGGGCGTGGATGTGTTGTTGGGGAGCACGTAGTTTTTCTCTGACAGGTTTCTTTTGCTCTGTCCGTTTTGTACATGCCTCTTCTACAGATTTAGATGATGTTACCCGCAAACACACATTCTTAGAGGGGTGTTCTTCTGGCAAACCCCCTTTGTTGGGCTCCGTGTGAATTTGCTGGGAAGTATCCCTTAGGAGAACAGCCATGCAAGGCTGCTGATATCCTTTTTCCGCCAAAAGGGGCAGAGAAGCATGATAGAATCTTAGACTCACGGAGATATATCCTTTTGCCGCAAAGTCGGCACAAGCCCTCGCAAACTACTTGTGACATGGCCAACGATTGCAAAAAAGCCGAGCTACTTGGGCTTGATAGGGGCTGAATCCAAGCCCTTCAGCAATTTGGCAGCCAAAAGGATTGCGCAGATCCAGGGACTGAGCCTCTCATGACCTGTTGCGTTCAGTCCTGAGTTGAGCCATCATTGTTTGGGTAGGTGAGGTGTGGAGCGCCCTTTGATTCTTAGGAAAAGCCAGGCTGCCTGTCTTTAGTGGTCAGGGCCTTTCAAGCTCTCTGCACACATCTTCAGTAAACGTGTTTGCAATGGCCAGCTGGGGAGGGGCTGTGGGTGAAGGGACTCCACGGCTTGAGTGGAACCCTCAGTTGATTAAGAATCTGTTGTGGATCAATCTGGAGGGGGGGAAGAGTGCAATCTGTTTAGAGGGGATCCGAATTGTTTGTGGGAGAAAACCTGAGAATGAATCCGCCCGGTGGATTCATGTGGGGTTGACATTGCAATTGAGCAAGTTTTGTTTGGACAGCAATCCTTTCACCACTTCTTTAGTCCTATCTAGGGGAACCGGACCCCCGAATCGCTGGTGCTGCATGGGCCGAAACCCAAGGTCGCAATGTGGGCGTCAAGATACGGGGGCTTGGGAATCCAGATGATAGTTTCCTCAATCGGAACCTCGGTGGAGTGACAATCAGCAACCCTTGGACCAGGGACAAAATCCAAGTTTGGACCACCCCTGGCCACTGTGACTCTGGGATGCTTGGAGGTCATCGCCGCCAATTGCGAGAGCACACGCATGTCGGTTATCGACATCAACGGTGCTGGGGGGCTGAGTCTCTTGGGGCAGGGCCAGGTTTCACATTTTCTGACGTTTGCTCATCAGATTCAGTGGCTGTGAATGGAAGTGCAGCCCTTTTCCCCAGCAACAATCTGAATCCACTGCACTTCCTGGGGATCTCTGGGTAGAAGGGTGACGCATGGCTGCAGAGCACCCTTCAAAGTAGGTGCGTGGTGTCGCAATGGTTTGTCTGAATGCAGGCATGCGGGAGGGTCGGATGAGTCTGCTATTCCGTGGTCCTTTCAACATGTTGTACAGCCACGTGAAAACCAGCCACCCCGGGGGGGGGGGGATTGCAGCCTTCAGACGAGCTGCATTGTGAACCAAGATGTTTTGTATAGCCCTCAGTTGCTACTTGATGCCATTGTGCAATGTGACTTCCCTATGATAGACGGTAACTTAGGTCTCACAGTGTACAGGTGTATAATATGACTTAGTACGTCATTTGCAATTTGCAGTGTCTCCCCGCTTAATTTTGGAAGCAGCTGGGACCTTGCAATCCTGATAGAAGAAGTACCTCGTTGCAATGTATCCCGGCCGTGGTTTAGGGCTTCAAGTTGAATGGCCCAGTCACCAGCCACTTGTTTTTGCTGGCCCTTGAGCTCAGGTTCTCCTACTTTTCGACATCGAGGTTGGGTATGCAGGGTCAAGCTGGAAGTGCACATTCATGCACTCACGAGATACCTTGGACATCACACATCCGGTGCCTGGCTGGGCCATTGGGATCTGGGGAAGTTGAGTGTGAAGCAAGAGATTCGACTTGTTTCAAGGCTGCGGCATTGGTTGGGATCCCTCTCTGCGTTGTACGCATGAAGCCGGCTCTTGTGGCAAGTGGGTTTGCAGGGACCTCTCTCCGCTCATTTTTTTCGGTTTCTATCTTGATATGAAGAACACAGAGGGTGTTTCTTGAATTTGGGAGTGCCTTGCTGGTCGCTTGAAGGGTACCAAAGGCAGCCGATTCGTGCTCCGAGTCTCTGAGATTCCTGGCTCGGCAGGTGAAAACCAGCACCTTCGGGGATAACAGGAGTCCATCCGGCGAGGACGCGGATGGGGCCGTCCCGTGTCGGTATTGTTTCTTAAGGACTTACAAGGCCTACTGCAACTTTCTGAGCCCCTACAACCTTATACATTTTCTATGTCGCCCACAAAGGGTATGGCTTCACTGAATTGGGGTACAACCCTGGCGGTACACCCGTCCACGGCACAATTGCCCCAAAGAGTTTGATGGATCACAAGTCAAAGGGTCTTCTAAGGTTTGCAACGCATGCGGTGCACTGGGCCCCCGGCTGGCAGTTGCAGGGCTCAAGAGGTGCCTGAAATTTGTCCCAAGTGACCAAGCAGACCTGGAGATGGAGGCGCGGGCGTGCAATGTGCCGCACGGCGAAGACTTGAAATGGGGCAGCTCCTCCAAAATGGCTGGTGGACATAGCTCCCATGTAGATGATGGCCTACGGTGTCCTTACTTAAAATTGACACCCATCTTAGTCCTTCCATGCCTAGGGTCCTTGACAGACATAGAATTCGGGCTGCCCTTAGCCCGTGCCTCTTCATTCTTCCCTTAGTCCGAGCCGCTCGAGTTTGCCCGCCTCCCCGCCCCTCGGGCCCTCTGACCTTTGGCCAAAAAACCAAAGTCGAAGTGGCAACCGACGCCATGGCGTGTTCCATGCCCAGGGCATGGATGGCAACAATCTCCTGGGCTTCACCGAGGCCAGGTCCTGAAATCCTGATTCCAGCGCCATGAAAGGAGGTAGAAATGGTTGTGTCCTTTGGACATAAGCCCCATGGCAAGTCTGAGGTTCACCAAGGCACCCAATGAAGTGGGATAACCATCTTGCCCCCGCAAAGGGTGGGGTGTAAGCAGCTTTTTGTGAAAGGGCCATGAGTGAACTCCTTTTGGTTTCAAACATGGGAGGTTTCCCTTTAGTTTCCCAAGACCCCAAGGTGCCCGTTGCAACATCGCAGCGATTCGCATGTTTTTTGCTTGCTGGTCAGCAGGGAATGAGGAAATGAACCCAGAGATTTCCCGAAAAAGGAAACCAGCCGTTGGATGGTTTATAATTCCATTTCTCATTCCCTGCATCTCTCGCACCGATCGCAAGTTTGGTTGAGATAGCAGCTCAGGCGGCGCCCCCGGCAATGGAGGCGGCTCGGAGATGAGAAGATTTGTGGATAGCCCAAAAGCGGGTGAGCTCAAAAAGGGTACCAACAAGACACACCCCCATACTCTTTTTTGTTGAGGCTAGCTTTTCTGGGGTGGCTGAAAGAGAAACGAAAAGGACAACCGCCCAGTTTTTGGGTTCTAACATGAACTTTTTCTTCCCACAGCCCAATCTTAGTTGTAGCCCTCACAGCAAGTCTGTTCACGTGGACCCCTGAGATTAGGATCTAGACTTGATGTGCGCCAGCTAGACCTTGAGAAATAGCACGGTTTGATTGGGGAAGGCCCAGACCCTTCTATTTTTGGGTTGTTTGTGCTGGTAAGGCAGCTTTCCCAGATGACACTTGGGCCATTGGTGTGTGGCCTAGTCTGGACCTTCTGCCCCCTTGACTATATAATCAGTATGCCGGCAAAGAAGTGGGGCCCATACCAATGGCCGCAGGGTGCGCTTGGATCTCGAGGGGTTCGGGCTGGTTTCTGCTCAATTGTTTGATCCATCCTATTCTGTTTGTGCCCTTTCATGTTTGTTGAAAAGGAACTGCCCAGATGATCAAGTACTCCATACCGTTTTTGTTGGTGGTTCCACTGCCTGGTCCAATGGTGTAATAGTAAGGCCTGGAACAAAAAAACAACATTTGGCTGTATTGGTAGAACCAAAAGTCAGCTCGGGTTTTGGGCACTGCGGCTCCCACATTTTCCATCTGGGGTCAGCCCAGGCACCCTCCGACCCCATGCAGTTCGTCGAGTCTGCTCCACCACCGCAGCCGCAGGCGCCGGCGCCCGGCATGGGACACAAGCATAAGCCACCACTCAGACAGCGGCAGCAGCCTCCCGAGCAAGGAGCAAACGATAGGGACAGAGCAAAAGACAGCAACAGCGGCAGCAACCAAAGAAGCCTTAGCCACGTAGAATTCGGTCAAAGGAGCAGTCTGCTGTCAATTTTGTGAGGAATACGAGGGACACCCATTTTCCCAAGCCCATTCTGCGAAATGCCATATTTTGACAGTGGCTAACATGTGCAGACTTTGCCAGCTCTCGCCACTTCGGAGCATTCATCGCTTGGGAGGCTGTGGAGGCTCCCTACCAGGACCCCTTCCAAGGCGTGCCCGTCAAGGCAGGAGGGGTATTGGAAGTGAAGTGGGTGTATGAGGCAGAAATTCAGCGTTGTGCGGGAGATGTTTGGGCAATCATTTTTTCGAATTTTGGTTCGAGGGAAGATAAAACACGACAGTTCTCCGATGCCATGGGCAGGCGGCATGTCTACCAGTTGCTGTCAAGTGACTTGAGGGCACAGTCAGAGGCATTAAACAGATGTGGCGGCCCTGCAATTTCTTCACATCATTTTTGGTAGGCCACTTTATAGTATGAAGATCTTGGCCACATATCTCAGAGACCCAAAGTTGTCCGAGCCAAACCTTGTGTCCAGGAGCCCATGAACGCCCCGCTCATCCCGGAGATGAATGCCCTGCGCGAATGGGAGGAGTTGAGCGGAAGGGAGCGGCAGGTGTTGCAGCGCGCTCTATCAATTGGCAACCAACAGTTGAAATTGTTTTACCTCAAAATTAGGGAACCCTGCGCTTGGTTCCATTTGGCTACCGTTTTGGGGTTCCTCCCAAAAAAGACACGAACGGCCACCCCTTGGCCTGCCAGAGCGGGGAATCCCTCAGATGTGAGATACGGTCTCTGTGAGCCCTGCGGGTCTGTGGATTTGAGCCATAAGCAAGCCCCGGGTAAGTGAAGGTTACGGGACAGTCTCCTTGCCAGAATTAAGTGCGGCCGCTGAAGGTTAGTTCTTGACAGTGGTTTGGGGTAAACAATTTGATACCGGGGTTTGATTGTGACTCATTTGATGGAACATATTGGATGGTCGTGCTCAAACTGGAGCGGCAGGTTTGGGCACACGAAATGTGAAGGGAAGCGGCGGGGTGCACACAAATTCAGGTAAGTAAACACATTGTTTCCCAACAACTTGTCGATGTGACTGAGCGAAATGTTTCGCTCTGGAGCGGGTCGGTGTATATTCAATCCGGATGGGGTGCTCACACTGGGGGGGGGGGGTCTGGGTATATCAAGAATAGACAGGGAGGAGGTCGACGATGTGTCTTGGAGACCACCAGCTGCTCTTTGCAATGGGTTTGTGCTGGGGGTGTGCAATGTGGATACATCTGGGGAAGCGAGCTGACCTGGGAATCAATCGAGCTGACCGATTTTGAAAGTTCTTCCTGATTTTAGGTTTAGGAGTTATAGTCATTTGCTTTGATACGGCCACTTTGATGCCATGTAGGTCTTCCAGTGGTAGAAAGGCTCTACAGCTTGTATGTTGACAGTGCCAGGAGAATCATGAGAAGGAGCTGGAAGAGTATGCGCGCAAGGAGGCCATGCAACTACGGCAAGAGCCGCGAAGGTTGCTTCAGATTTATGTATTTGGCCGTGTCTGGCAAAAACAGGGACGATTGTCCACAATCTGAAAGGGTTTGCCCGTGACAAGGCGGTTTTGAGTTGGGTGCCAGACGAGAAGATGGGGTAGTCAACCAAACAAACAAACTGGCACTTCCGGGAAGTTATAGAAACTGCTTTGACAAGCATGAGACTAGCAACATCTGGCTTTTAACACCCTAGACTGGTGTTTGCCCAAGCACTTGACACGAAGGTAACAATTCTTGAGGTGGAGCGACCAATTGGCACCACCTCATCCATTGAAAGCTTCCAGCAATTAGGATCAGCTTGCGAGGCACACATCTTCAATCCGACACCCGCATTTGAAACCACAAGCAGCACCACGCTTTTTTGTACAGGCTTCGTTGTACAGTTGGGTGACACTAGATGGCGCAATACCCTCACTTTGATTTAGATGTTCCCTCATCAGCCTCTAATCGGTGGTTTGGATTGGTGGTTTGGTGGTCCGGGCTGGTTTCCCATTCGCCCTCTACAGGAGCCAGAGGTTCAAATCCCCAGTTCCCACCAATCCAAACCACCGATGGCCACATCTCCGTCCGCTGGGCTCCCTTTCGGAGTGGTTTTGGGTCTGTCGAGGCTACTGAGAAGGAGCAGCGCCGCGGGAACGCCTCGGCCGAGCTGCAGAAGTGGAACGAGGCAGCGGCCGGGGGCAAGCGGCCGGGGGGGGGGTCCGCTTGTTGAGTCTCCCGAGGTAGACTTAAACACTGGGGTTTCCCTTTTGGAGAAATCAACCACCCCTGGATTTAAGCCCACTTCAGGGTAGTCTAAAAACCCTGGGTGTGTGTCCACGGATGTTGGCCACCTGGGGGGAAGTTGTGTTGATTCGCCCACGTGTGTTTCGTTTTCCTAGCGAGGTGCAGGGGATTTGAGCGAGGTGGGTCCAAGCACTTGGATGGGTCAGGAGCTAGCTAGATGGTGAGTAGCCCTGGGGCTTTGCAGGGGCTTTACAGGGGACTTCACAGGAGGGGAAAGAGGGCTTATTTTGGGGTTTATTGGGGCGGGCACAATGCGGGGTCCTGGCCGCACAGCTGGCTCCCGGACCATTGCCGTGTAGCACTGGGCGTGAGTCAACGCCCTGATTGGATTAGTGGCTTGTGCCTGGCAGCTTCGCCTTTTTGGAGCGGCAACCCTGGCTGAGAGTCCAAGATACCTACGCAAACCATCTGATTTGAAACTGATTCATTTCGGAGTGCGCGTGATCAATTCCAGAAAAATCAGCACCCATCAGCACTATGTTTTGTTTGGTGGCAGCCCGACACAGCATTGCGTGTCAGGAGAGGGTGCCTTCCGCTGACAGATTTTCCACCCCCAAACCACTGCCCCATGACTACACAGTGCTTACATCTCCGGCTTTCCCACCTGGCTTGTGTTTTTTCCCCAACAGCTGAAAGCTAAGGGGTCTCAGCCCAGAGAAGGTTTGGGGTT